TTTTCCCAAAGCTTTCAAATTGTGATAAGTTTGCGATAAAAGTGACGTAAAACCCGTGGGGAAAATGTGTTTAAATGGTTTTTTAAAAGTATTATAAAAGTCAAATAAACACTAAAAATAAAAGTGAGTAAAACGTGTCGTAAAGATCATACAGATATAACATTCCAACGGCTTTCCATACTTCCTCAATGGTTATTTTGCCTATGTTTTGTGTGGGTTTTTTTTTAGTTAAACCAGTTTCTAAAAATTTATAATGGTCACTAAATGATGCTGATTACACAAAACGTGTGCTGCAAAATACAGATTTATAAGATTGTTTTTAAGCTTCGTCACGTTACATTGGTTTTCATCGGTGATAATTTATTTTCTTTCAACAGTTGTTGAGATGACTCATTGGTTATAATAATTTGAAAATATCATACAACTCTATCACGAAGTTTTTATATAAATACAATTAGTAGAGTAATTAAACACTTACAAGTTTTGTTAAGTGATGATACGTTGAATTTAAGCGAGGTTGTTGAAGTCCCTGCATCTCATCTGTGAGTAAACTATCTGAGTTAAAAACCTATCAAAACTGTTTCTTTAATTAATAGCGAATAAGCTGAACCCCATATGTAGGTACGTGTAATAGCTCAATATTACTTCAAAAATAAGGGGAAAAAAGGATAATTGGATGTCAACTGGTTTGTCATGCAATTATGTTTACGGTAGAACATCCAAATATGAAACAAAGGTGGCAGACTCTTTGGTGTCTTTTATTTTCAGTTCACTTGGATATATGAGGAACCTCTGTATCCTTTTAATATCAGATTCAGAGTACTTAAAATTAATGTGACTTTTAACAAAGTAAAGTTTGTTGTTGACCTATTGTAGACCATGTAAACATTTCCGGGTTCCATTTTTATTGAAGAAAAAAGCTTAGTTTTGAATATAACTTGTGGAATGATTGTTTTAAATGTAGAACGTTGTACGTTTTAGACGTTTGTGGTGATTTTAAAAAAAAAAAACTTCTTTAGTGTGATTGAGGATCCACATCTCTATCATTTTCACCACATCTAGAATATGCTGTGGTACACAGAACGTCTGAAGTTTCTCCTGAATAGCATGCGCAGTTAATACTGATATGTGCTAGGGAGTAGAGATTAGGACTTGTAAGATAATTTGCTGGATCCAACCATATAATTATATTTATTGTATTTCTGTTGTGAAGTTTATGGAATTCATTGTAGGTGAGGTAGTTCGAAGTAACATTATGTTTAAATGTTTAAAGATTACTGTGAAATCATTTTAATTCGTGTGGGGCAATGCTCGTGGGTAAGCAATTTTTTTTTTGGTTCGAGGGGATTTAAGTTCGTGAATAACTTGTATATTCAGACAATTGAATGAAAAAATATATTGACAAAATAATTGTTTGTGGGGTGTAAATTCAAGGGTAAGGGTGAACCACGAAATCCACGAACTTTGGTCCCCCACAAACAATGATGAATCCACAGTACAACACGAAAAATGTGATTTTGAAGAATTTCATCATTGGGAAGGGAACTCCCTTCCCTATTTGAAGAATTTTCAGACTTTGCTGATTTTTTTTTCTGATGAAGGAGGTCTAGATCATTATTTTCCATGATATATGGACATTATACCTCAATCCTTCATAATTATTTTTCTGTTTTCAGTGTTTTAAACTATCCTCAAAACATAGTTTATTGAAGAAATTGTTTTAAAAGTGTTTAAATATTGTGAATGCCCTCGTTTTTATTTATAACCGGAAAAAGGTTATTATGTCGTACTTGGTCCCAGCGAAAAGTCATTTAGACAGTATTATGTATATCTCCATGAAAGAGTACGTTGTACGTTTAAACTGTGTTCATCTGATATTTTTGAATGTATGTTTTGATGATAAAAACAAATAATTCAACGCGATGAATAATAATACAATTTGAACCCCACTCTTGATTTTTACACGTGTGTAAGCTGAAGTTGAACGCAAGATGGCTATTACCTGTTTAGGATGTTTTGGATATATTTTGTAAGTATTTACTTTTATTACTTCTATTTGATTGAGAGGTCAAACATACATGTATGTAGATTGGTTTTAAAGCATATACACATGAAAATATTTTTTCCTCTTGGGGTGAAGAAATGATGTAAGTATCTTTTTAGGAAGACGAACAGACGCATTTAACAAAATACACACTGTATAATTGACTGTAGTGCAGACATTTACTCAATAACTTCTCTTAAATAAACAGGAAAATTCATTGGAATCACACCCTGAGATCACATGTGTATGATATAAAAGGTTGCTTTGTATCAACTCTTTACCAACTTTAAAACATGTGATGCATATTCAATAATTATAGTCCTGTACATGATAAAAAGAGTTGTAAAACAGCAACACAGGTACTAACCATACAATGCACGAGAGGATTAGACCATAAAAAAATTCGTTTGTTATCCTTTATCAGAAATTATTCTTATATCTATATATTCTACATGTATATGAAAAAACTATGCTTATATTCAAATTAGAACTATTTTGTAGGGAGATGCAATTTCGTACATAAAACTTAACAGGAAGTTAAAACTTAAGAGTTCACTGATGTAGATTTCAGTTTCTGGTCAATCATCCTGTACTCAACGTGTTCAATTTGTTTTGCTTTAGTTTCAACACACATTAATTGTTTAGAGTGAAAATACTTCTATAAACGGATGTTAATATAAATTTTGAATTGTTTTGGGGGTTCTCTTTCAATTCAAATATGCAAATAATGAAAAGAAAACATTTAAAATCTAAATTTATTTAAAATAAATCTAAATATGAGAATGAGATGGAAGCAGTTTATGTTTATTAAAAGTTGTTATGAGCATAGTTGTAACGGAGACATTTGACATTTTACTATTCGAAAAGTGCGACGCATAACCTTTTATCTAACCTTTTATGATATATTTCACTGTAGAAGTATTTTCTTAAACCTTTCATGGCCACTTGTAATTATTTATACTGCAGGCTAAAGGAAATGTATAACTATTGCAAAAAGCATAATTATCTTCTCTAGCACCTCTCGTACGCAGTATATACATGTATTTGTTTATGAAGCATCGATTTTCAGAGAGAGAGAGAGAGAGAGTGAGAGCAGTTGTTATTTCCAGGAAGTTTAATTTGTTTCTCCTTTGACTGTACTCACATGTTTCTTGATTTATAGAAGTGTAATTGTTTAAATGTATTTTAGAATCTGGATGTTTGAATACTTGAAGTAATCTAGTACCCAGGGTAATTAAACTAGTGCGAGTCAATTAATTTCATAAACATGATGTTTTTTGGCCTTTTTAAAATAAATCTAGATATGTTAAAGTAAGATTGTATTGATATTATGTTCACTTTTTTCCATGACGTCATAAAATCGCCAAGAATATTGAAGATACTACAAATAAGAATAAACCGTGTTATCTGTCATATAGGGGGTTAGCAAAAGGCTATTTTTCTAGATTTGATCAAAGAAAATAATGCTTTTTTATAGTTTATATAGCTTTTAGAAAATTCTAAATTGTTTAAATTTTCAAGTCAGTATCATCAAAACGTACGACTTTTCTACACTTGTCACAGACAACACAACTGTTTCTGGAAGCCAGAGTTTTGCCTATGTTGTGATTACTCACAAACAAAACTGCCTAGTCAAGATCACCTTGATCCTGCACACAAGTACTCTGAAGGTGATATTGACAATGTTTATGTAGTCTTTGCAGAACAAGTCTTCCAACAACAAACTTTTAAAATTCTGATGTCATAAATTGTGCTTCTTTGTTCTCTAAAGAGGTTTCTATGAAGTAGAATTAGTCAGTTTTAAATATTTTTATATCCGAAAGATCCAAAATGAATTTGAACTACCCTATAGAATTATATATTGGATGCCAAAACGAGAAATTAAAGTCCAATTTTTTTATATCATTGACAGCTGCTTTTCTAATAAAAATGGAACTCGTAAATTTACTTACTTTGTCTTTGGTCACTTGCAAAATTATTTTGTTAAAAACATTCTGATTGTACACACAAGTACTCTAAAGTTGACATCATAAAGATGCTTGAGTTTCTGATTGACAATATCTATGTGGTTTTTGGTCTTCCAATAATCTATTGGAATTCCCATGGGTACCAATTGCGCCCCGTTATTAGCAGACCTATTTTTGTATTCATATGAAGGAGAATTTGTGCAAAATTCTATGCATGAAAAGAAAAAAACATTTGCTGTGGCCTTCAACTCGACATATAGATATATCGACGACGTATTGTCAATTAACAATGGTAATTTCCATTCTTATGTCGATACGATATATCCTGGTGAGCTTCAGATAAAAGATACTACAGAGTCTTACACATCTGTTTCATAATTGGATATTTTAAATGAAAAAGACGTCAATGGTAATCTAACAACGAACCTCTAGGATAAACGTAATGACCTTAACTTTTCTATTGTAAACTTCCCTTATTTATGCAGCTATATACCTTCATCACCTGCATACGGAGTTTATGTATCTCAAATGAGCATGCTCTACGTATGAACGATTTCTTAAACGAGGTAAATTATTTACAAACAAGTTAATGAAACAAGAATTTCAGCTGTCTCGTATGAAGTCGTCATTTCGTAAGTTCTATGGTCAATACAATGATTTTGTCAGCAAATACAATTTATCATTGAGTCAAATGCTGACTGACGTTTTTCACAGAAATTGTTAGTCCCATTATTTATACACTGAATTGAGGAGGATTCTCCCGTTATTTCCAGATCATGACAAGGAGCACACGGCGGGGATGACCGGTCGGCAGGGGATACTCACTCCTCCATGGCACCTGATCCCACCTCCGATGGTTTAGAAGTCCGTGTTTGCTTTGCTCCTTTTTTGTATTGCTTAATGGACTTTTGATCTTGCATACTGTTCGTTATCTCCATATGTTTCATTACATAATGAATGCCTTCAAACAGACATTAGGATATTTCGATGTATCATGATTTTAAAAAATAGATCATACATTTTATGTGCCGATTTGATATATCCGAGAGAGTCTTGAAATAAAAAACATATCTTATTCTTACAATGAAATATATGGAGATAACGAACAGTTTTCGAGCTCAAAAGTCCATTGAATAATATTATGTTTGGAGCAGAGAAAACACGGACCTCTAAAATATCAGAGGTGGTGTCAGATGCAACGAAGGAGTGAGCATTCCTTGCCGACCGTTTACACCCATATGTTTTCATGTTTTACTGACATTCCATAGACAAGTACCAACTATCAAATAATTGTTTGACAAACGAGATGATTTAGACTTTTCGTTTTTCTATCTTTACCCTTTCATGAGGGATATGGAGATAAGGATTAGTATTCAATATCAAAGTCCATAATAGAATAAAATATACTGTGTACCTAAAGCAATTTACAAACGAGGGAACCTAAAACAGAAGTCTGTAATTGTCAGATGGTAACGTTGGTGTGAACTTGCATCGTCATCTTTTTTCGGAGAAGGGGAAATCTATTCACAAGGATGACGTATGGGAAATGGGAATGAGACTCATTCATTAAAACGTCATGTTGATAATGTAGGGTTATTTGACTTATTGTGGATGTATTTTATTGCTATATTTTTATTTCAGTATCGGCCTGGTCTGATGAGCTAAACCTAACATGCCGGGTACCTGCTGCAAACAGTTTGGGAAATGGTTTTTAATTGTCCTCAACATCATATTTTTTGTGAGTATCTCTTTTATTATATTCTGGGGGAATGTATACAATATAATTTTGGCAATTTCAAACGGAGGAATTTTATTTTTCTCTTTTTGTTGTCATGTGTCCTTCTATAATATAATGTATAAATGAGATAACTAATCAAGTTTTACTTAATATGTCCTCTTAACCAATCAGGAAAACAATAGAAACAATGATTTGTATGTATGAAATTAATACATTTGACTTAATAAGACTTTCCCAGAAAATTATACCAAAAAATCCAATGAATTGTTTCACTTGAGTTTGTTTATGAGGATCATTTAATCAGATTTTTAAAAATGTTACAAATTTTAATTGCCTGTTTCTTTAACCAGTACTGAATATTTTTAATTGTTTATAGTTATGCTGAAAAATGTTCACCCAGTATAAACGGTTAAAATTGAAATATCTCCATTGTTTTACAAGCACACACAAAAAATGTGATATTCTTCAATATGCATTCTAAATGAATTAATGAATTACGACAGTAAATATTATAATGATTATGCCTCATATTTTTATGTTTAGGTAAGAAAAAATATTCGTCTTTCTGATCATTGTGTCAATTGTTCTTAATATCATGATTGGACATTATATTCATTGAAAAAAGTAAGCAACGCTCCATACTTTAAACTCTTTTCCATTTGATTCTAATGTAATTGTTATTGATGTAAATCAATGTTTTGATTTTTTAAGATGTGAAATTTAGCGCAAATGAATATTTTACATTAAAGTTATCATGGTATGTGACAAAATAGGACAGGAACAAAACACGGAGTCACAAAGTTCATTCATGTTTCAGTATGGATAGATATTAACTCTTAAGAGCACGAATGTTTTTGGTATTATGAGTATACTATGATCTTGTGTAATAACTTAACCACTTCGAAAAATACCTAATTGCATCTAAGGGAAGTAGACCATTTCCGATTAATGAGATAGGAGACAAATCAAACTGTATGACCCTCAACTTTTACTCCAACTACTCAAGAAAATGTAAATATTGTATATCTGATTGTCTTAATGATTTCAGTTATTTTTTTCTAAGGTTACAAACCTTTCCAGTGTCATATCAAAATATTACGTTCATCTAAATTGGTTGAATCTGATTATAATTGGTTGAATCTGAATATAAAATATAGAATGTAATACTAAAATTAATGTGGCAATGAATTTGAAAGACATACTATTGTTTTGCATTATCGAAAATTCTGTTGTATTACTTACCAAATTACTAAACTTCGAAAAACTTCATTTGAAGCTGCTAATGTAGACTTCAAATCTATGTTATGACTTGAAGACATGTTAATTGTCAACTTTTTGCTACAGTGTAGTAAGAAAATATAATTGATATCAATATTGCAAGACCATGACGATTTTAAAGGTTTATAAACATGATAATATTTACTTCCAGTTACTTGGTATCGGGTTATTGGTAGCAGGAATCATATTTAAAATTAATGCAGTATTTGTGGAGGTTTTACCCACCTTGAACAAAGTCCAAGTGGTTGGAAACAACCTTGGCGATCTTTTGAACAGCGTTTCCATCTTGGTGATCATTATCGGCATCTTTGTGGCGTTGGTGGCGGGTTTTGGACTATTTGGAGTGTATTGTAAGAAGAAAACTTTGCTAATTGTGGTAAGATTTCTAACAAAATCTCTATTAATAACTCCAGGGGTTTTAAGGACATGGTATTATCATAATTATGATATACCGGGTATTCCAAAATGTCGATTACAAACTTATATTTATATTATTTTATTCCTACTGTAGTTAACGAATGGAACTCAATTCCACTCGAATTTACAGTCAATGTCAAAATTACTGTATACGTTTACTTTATAAACCATGTTTAATTGTGGCAATTTAAATGTGTAATTTACATGTGGGGAGAGAGCATTGTAAGTTTTTAGAACATGTGCACAAACCAACTGTAATTAAAATACAATAAAATATTTTCATGTCATCATTTGTTTGCATAGGCTTTATAAATTTTGTATTTTTATTTACATGTATATTAACCTTTTCTAGTACGCCATTCTTGTGTTTATAATGGTTGCCATGCAGACGACAGCCGTGGTGTTTTTATCTAAAATTTCATTGATAAGTATTTATAAAACTAAGTGTTTCAAACAGGGTCCAGAAGGTATCTCGATTCTAATTTTTTTAGAAGCTCTATCCATATTAAATAATGAATAATGTTAATTTAAAAAAAATCGTGTTTTTATCCAAAGAAAAAAAACCCATTCAATTGAATTTTATTCATTTTTTTCATATTTAATATTCGGGTGAATAGTTCTATCCGTCTGGTGTTACTTTTCCGTTTTGCAGTATTGTGGATACAACACCCTTTTCTCCGTTTTATTTTTAGGCGTAACTACATGTATAAATGAAAATATCATTCAGATCAATTTCTAATTTGCCTTATTTAAAATAGAGTTATACTTCATACAATTATTTTTTCTTATTTTCTTCAAAATATAAATGAATTCAAATCAAAACTGGCCCTTTTTTTCATTTTAGTTCAATGAAAGAATCAAGAATGCGATGCTGGGAATGCTCCAGAAGAATTTTATTGATGATTCTTTTAATACCACCAACGCTCTTTCCAATGGATGGAATTACATATTCTTAAGGGTATCTAGATAATATTGTTACTTTCTTACCATGTGTAAAAGGCACAAAATGGCTGTGGAATTAATTGTCAATAAAAAGAAACATCGATTTCCTTACATCTTTACATTGCATCTCTCATTTATTCTCATTTATCATTAGTGTTATGCATCTTTTAAATAGTATGATTGTTGCGCTGTTAATCCTGTTAATGGACCAAACAACGATTTTGACGAAACCCCCTGGTGTAAGGAAAAAGGTGAATGTTTTCTAAATAATGCCCAAATACCGAAGACGTGCTGTGATGGAGTGGACGAATCGGATTTCGAAACAAAGGCACCGGCAGATTGTTTTTCTTTTGCAACTGATGACTATAAGACTAAGGTTAGTCTTAAATCTTAGAATTTTGCAATTAACGTTTTTTTTATTCCTGAATTTTACGAGAATTTAAATTGTATCAATTTTCTCTTATTATTGAGAATGTTGACATTTCCATTATAATGATCATTATTGAGGCATTATTTCTTTTATTAAATTCATCTTTATTTTCTTTAAGGGTTGTTTTGATAGACTTCAAGAATTTATTCAAAAGTACTCAACTCCCGCCATTGGGGTATCGGTTGTTGGCATTACACTCGAGGTAAATGGATTAAAAAAGGTTTTGACTGTTTTACATACAAACTTGAGCTTGATATATAGGACTTTTAAAAATTGTATTGTCAAGAAAATTTGATATACAAAGTCTTTGACATATATTTTAGGTATTATATTGGTCTTTGTATTGATTGTCCTTATAATTTGGACAAATTACCTAAATTAAAACAAACTCATACACATTCAGGGTCTAAAAGTTATCATAATTTTTATCAGTTTTCAATCACAACGACTTTGTAGCAGAGCCGTATCAACATTATACTTCATCTTATACTTTGTAAAATGAAAATAAATTTAAAGTTTTGATATAAGAACATTCTTTCAATTAATAGAGCACGGATACCTCGTATTAAGTTTTTTTGATAAAGTTAAAAGTACTTGCAATATAAAACTTTTTTTATTCAATTGCTGTGACCATGCATATAGTAGAGGGAAATAACAAAATTAATGTGATAAGACATGAATACAGATAAACCTGACATGCCTTTACTAAAAAACATTTTTCAGAAAAGGCAAATGTTTGTCCTTAAAATGAAATTTTTATAAGAAAAAAACTTTGCATTTGTTATCAATTTTAAAAATATTGTATGACTTCAATGCTTAAAAATGATTTGATTACTTTTAATAACACAAGATATCACTGAAGTCAAAACTTCAAATTCAAAGATTTTTCAAGTTAAATATAGTGAAGCGCATTAAAGTGGTAAAATTTCCCGTTTGAATGGAACGTTTTGAGCTATCTTTAGAACGTTGATTGTCATACAATGACACGCCCATTTCTTTAGAAAGTAAAAATCGGTCGAATGGTTCATTGGAATACTTGTAGAACAGGTATTCTAAAAATATAATATCCAATCAAATTGACGGTCTACATAGACGCAGAGTACGCACATGTTCGACCAATACATGTGTTATGGAAATCCCGGTAAACATGATAAATTCATAATTTTGTACAAATTCGTTTCAAAACGTGTTTTATAGAAGCTGGAACTCTCTAAATCTCTCTTATAACTTTAAAAATCTCCATTTCAGTGAAACTCATGTTTCTTTTCGCAAAGAGTGGGGTGTCCTAAAACATTACGAATATTTCTTGTACGTTTCTAAAGGAATTGGCGTGTCATTCTGTAATAATTGACGTTCAAAACATGACTCAGAACGTTTCATCCAAACAGAAAATGTTACCACTTCAATGCGCTTCATTGTATTTTGACTGGAAAATATGGAGCACAGGATGATAAACAGTATAGAATGATATACCTATGAAATGTTAAAATACCTGGGTAGCTCCGTGCTAGAACAAATTTGAACTCTGCAAAAACTGTCGTCAAGATTGACCAAAATTTGAGCATTTCGTCATTTTATTAAAGATATGATGACACGTCTTTAGTTTATTGTGACCGTGTGTTAAAAATTTCAGTTACATGTATTTGTTTCCAACCCAAAATATTTTTTTCTTCATTTTTTAAAAACAAATATCTAAAACAAATATAATAAATTATTCATATTTGAATTCGGTAGCGGCAAGAATGCGCCTTTAATGAATTCGAATCAAGTTCTCTTAGTTATGAATTTTTAGATTTTATATGTTTCTCTTGTAATCTCCCATCTTCTTTCTTTTACTTATGTTAATTGCTTACTTTTTCATCTTTTCTAGATTTTGGCTTTTGTGTTTGCCATCGTCCTATGTAGGCAGATAGGACAAGAGTCTTCAAAGATTGTATAATTCATACTAGTTAAGTTGAAATGATAGATATTGGTTTAAACATGTGTGTCCAAATGCACAGACTTCAGCTGGTTGAAAGACTGTTATTAACATTGATTGACTGTATCCACTATCACACATGTTTCAAAATGTTTTAAAGCACTCAAATATTATATCCAATTTTTCTTTTCTTAATATTTGTTAAATCTGTACTTCATAAAGGTAGCTGACAAATTTTTATTAACATTAAAATCATTTTTGTACTAGAACATTTAGTTTTCAGTACATGTGTATTATGGGATAGATCGCCGCTGTTTGTTATTTTCTCCCTTTTCCGCATTAAAGAACCTTTACTTTTAATATTCAATTCATGTGCGTTTAATTTTAAATAAACCTGATACAAAAAATAATGATTAGGTTTCCTTGAGATAAAAACAAAGCGTTTTCATCTTTTTAAATCACATTTTTATCCATTTTTAAATTGTATTCTTTTGATATATACAATGTACTTGAATCTATTAAATTACAAACTAAGGACTTGTGTGGGATATATTATTTGTTTCGCCCACTTCCAAATATCAAATAAACTCCATCTTTATTGAAATACATGTATACCGATTGTGACGCACACACCCAGATGTGGAGAAAGGGTATCATGTTCAAATTATAATACAAAACTAGAGCCGAGCTCGTTGCAAAGCAACGAGTAGGTCTTCCGTTGGAGCTATGGACAGGAAGTACTGACCTTGGGTCAAGGTCACTGCACTTTCTTATGTGAACAACCTTTCTTCTCAGTATGAGCCTTCAGTGAATTTTAATTACAAAGTTATGCTTAAACATTTTTTTCTCTGTCAGTGACCTAGATTTGCTAGAAAGACCTTTGATCAGGGTCATGACACAACCTCCAATCATAAGTAATCTATGTTTCAGGTAAGAGCATCCAATGATTTTCATTTACTACTTCATAGCGTGGGAAAGAAAATATTTTTTTCTGTCAGTGACCTTGATCTTAACAGAATTGGCTCTGTGTCAGGACAAACCTTCAATCTGAAACAACTTCTAGTGATTCAAAATTCATAACTCTGACAGGAATTTTACAATTTTTTTGTCATTGGCCCTGAATTTGTTAAAATGGCCTTATCTTAAGTCATCTGAAACTGGCGGACTATAAACAATTTTTATCAAGTATGAACTTAAACAAAAATTGTCCAAATTGAAATGATACTATTTTCGGAGTCACAATCATAGAAAAATCCTTTTGTCACAAGCAATCTCTGTATCAAGTATTAGCAAAAAAATATTCTCGATTACATATAAATGACTGCGACAAAACATTTATTCTTTCTCCAGTGACCTTCAATTTGCCGTAATATTGCCTTGATTCATGACACATCCTAGGATCATTATAGCCTGGCCTTCTGGGAAAAACTTTGAGGGACAGACAGAAGCAGACAATTTAATTCCCAACCCATCCACCCTACCCCCTAAAATACTCAATCACTTTGTGGGGGAAACTCTGGTCATGATTTGAAAAGAAAGTAATCTTTTTTATATCAGGAAGCTTTCATAAGTATAGTTTCTCATTCTTGCCCAGAGGTTCATAAGAATAATATTTCAAAACGACCCCTTCTTATTTTACTAACCGTTTTCTTCATTATCATCATTTTATATCATCCATGGTCGCCTGCATAGCGCACTGATTAGAGCGTCTGCTCTATAGTCGCGAAGTAAGGAGTTCATCCTTACATCGTGGGTTCGAATCCCACTGTGGGACGTGGAGGCCTGTTCTTCGGATAAAACCGTATAAAACAAGGCCCCGTGTCGCTTAAGGTGCTGGCACGAAAAAGATCCCCCTTCCCCCGGTCAAAGGCCTTAAGTGCCTTTTATAGGATATTTGAAGCTCTCCACTGGCAAGTGCATGATGGCATCTCTATATTAGTGAAATATTCTTGAGAGGGACGTTAAAACATATCAAACATAACCCCCCCCCCCCCCAAAAAAAATGATTAAGAATTTTGCCTATGAAATATTTCGGGAGGGTTGTTGAAAGTTTAGGCTACGTACAACTATCAGTCCATTGAATAAGAATATTTATTTCAAACTTTGGGGAAAGGGGGTGGGGTGCATGGGGGAGTTATGGTGTATACGTAATACATTCGAGATTATTATTATTCCGTTAGACAGAAAGGCCCAAGGAGTTGTGATTTGCTGATCATGATCTAAAACACATTGACAAACCCAAACCACATGGTTTTATACACGTCTTTCCATTAATTTATTCATAATTATTTTCCTTGAAGGAGAAATGCATGGATAAAAGATAAAAGAAAATTACTGATGTACAATAGCATCCATGCATGGACTTTTAGTACTTACATATTGTGCTTGAAGTTGAATAAAATCAACAAATAAATTTAATTTAAATAAGAAAGGGGGGTTATGTTTAATAAAATAAATTAGACAATAATTGATACAGGGAGACTCTCTGTTCAATACATGAATGTACATGAACAAAATGCCTCTCTCTTGCCTTCTTTCGTACATTTATTTTTTTAAACTAGGAAAAGTAATGTGTGTTAGATATAAGTTCATAATTTTAAAGAAAATACTGAGTTATATATGATAAACGATACAAATGGTTTGACTATGGTGCCGGATATTATTTTAATTGTTTAAATTGGGTTGTAAAGGTGTTTAATTACATAAGTTTTTGATATTCAGTAGCTGCAGATTGTTATATAAGTTCTTAAATTTCCGATTTTGGACATAGGATGCGAGTTTATTACTACTTACATGTACATTGTATAACTTGGTACCGATATTTAATCACAGAACAAAATTACAGTGTTAACACACTACCGGGTATACTAATCATTTACGGGATTTGAATAAATTATTTTACAAATTAAGTTCATTGCTTTAAAATCTTGAATTATTTTTTCAATTTTACTGGTATCCAACCTGTAATATAAGTATGCTTTGTGCAACACAGAAGCCACTTATGAAGTTTACAAGTGCCGGAGTTAACTATCGATGTTTAATCCATTTTTGACTATAATTCTATCCTTATGATTCGGAAGATTCTCTTTAAAAGTTTAAAATTGGAATAGACATGGTAAAAACCTGTGATGGAAAAAAAGTGTGTTTGGGAAAATTTGTGTTGAAAACGGATTTATTTGTGTGTGAAAAGGGCAAAGCTTATGCATTTAAATCAATACTGGTTGAAGTAAAGTAACCACAGATCGCTATAGTCCTTACGCAATGAATCGTCAAAATAAAAAGTAAAATTACACATGGAGCTAACGAACATTTAAAAACTGAAGACTGATGAATATGATTAATGTGCTTAGTACATGTAAAGTAAATGCCCCAGGGTTTTGTGCTGAAGTCAAACCTAAGACAATTTAATAAGATTTTTTTTAAAGATTCGATTTACTTAAGCAAAATAATATTTTCCCGTAAGTTTGTAAATTAGATACGTCTACCACCCGGCGAAATTAATGTCAACAAGCGATGGAAAGAATGGTTTGTCGCGTAATTGTAAACAAACACAAAACCTAGATAGCTGTTTTAGTTAAAATATGTATCACGTTCAAATTTAAAACAAAGTTAAGCCAACATATTAATCTCAAATATTTGACAATAAGAATTTTTCATTAATTGTCGTGTTGTAGAAAGGTTTTAAATTATTTTGCCTACGACTGCAGGGTCAATGGATCACCACGGAGTGTCGCTTTAGATTTCTCGGCCGCGTGTAATCGACAGATAGATAACGTAATGGTAAACACACTTAGAATCTGTGTTCCAGGTGAATGTGAGAATCGAGCAGTAAATAATGGCGTATTATTTGACTCTTTAAAAAGTTTCTATGAGATCTGGGTGTATATTGTTTTCATTTAAATTGTTTGTGTTCATTTTAAACAAAGAAAAGATACTCGTACTTCTATCACTCTCTCTCTCTCTCTTGGAAAGATCTTTATAAATAAAAAGAAAAAGTTGCCATCGAATACTCTGTACGGGAACCAAAAAACATGTTTAAAACCTAATCAAAAAAAATATATAATCAGTGTTGTAAAATATTTATTACTTATGGCATGTTTATTTCAATTATACGCATAAAAAGTTCTCCTTCAATATCAAAATGAGAACGGTGCCATGTTTACGGATCTACCTTTCTTTCTTACCATACGTAAGACTCGAACAAAATAATATTTTTATAGGATAGAAATAATATAAAGGAACAATTTATAATCGACAACCATATCAAAATATTTACCGTTTTTGAGTTATAATGCAAAAAATTTCAAGGCCCCTAGATCCCTAATTTCAATGATATCAAATGAAAGCTCTTGCAATTATGCACAAATTTTATTCAATATGTCTTAACAAAATATTTTTAGTTTTCAAGATAAAAGGTAAAATATGTGTAATTTTTTGCTCTTTTATGCGTTCTAATTTTTGACCCCTATATAGCGCCATCTTGAATAAAGAAATCGAAAAACAAAAACTGGCATGCACAACTTCAATCCTTCTGTTATCTAAAATCAGTAGAATTTCTGCTCCAGCTTTTGTGGTCTCTGAGCCTTTATCTGGAAATGAAAGCCTATAAATTTTCATTTAAAGGGAAATAACTCTAAAGCGGGAGTACATTTTTGAAATATTAGACAGCATTCTGATAGAGTGTATCGATGTGTATAATGTCGAAAAATTTGAGCAAAATCCGTTGAGAAATGAGTGAAATATGAGGCCTCAAAGTTGGCGTCTAGGAAAAGGAAAAAAAAAAGAATAATAAGAATAATCTTAATCATCAGAATCAGTAGAAGGTCTTCCGTTGGAAACGGAAGACCTTAATTAAAATATTTAAACACGAAATCTTATCATACAAATCCGTTTTCATTTATCATTCGATTAAAATTTTAAATGCCAAAAAATATATTTATTTTTACAAATTTTTAACATAAATCATAATTTCGTTTCTTTTTATTGAAACCCTTTTATCTATTTGTACTGTGTTGATCTAGGGAGATACATAACATATAATAATTTTCTAATTATGATTTATAATTATGATTTCTAAGACAAAGATGTAAAATTCTAAGGTAGAAACATCTCCATATGTTGTACACTTGGACTACATTACTATTGTGGTTGCTTAGAGTTGTGATTAAAATTTACCTAGTGTAATTAGTTTCGACATTTTAAACTAAAACTGACCTTTCTGTTGGAAGAATCAATTGATCTGTCTTACGCCAAGTGATCGGCGAAGAGC